TGATAGTTATTCTTATATATCCATATTCTGTTATTTTAAATCATGTTGTCAGATTGATGTCGAATTCTTCTCTTTAAGCCAAAAACAACACTGTTTAAGCTGTTGTAACATGTTTGATCAAGATGAGGTAGAGGAAGAGCTGGCCACTACATTTGGACGTCATTAACAAAGCACCCTGTCAACATCAGTCACAGAGCTGCAGTGAGGAACGGGAAATCCAGCTTATGAAATGAGTCTCATGTTGTCTGTTTTACATAAGTTGTCTTTCCAGTTTGTGTTCAGTGTTTTTCAGTTAATTTTCAGAGTGAATTATTTGTTTTGGTTAGTTTTATATATTTATATCCATTTTAGTTTTGTATATATCTTTTTGTTTATTTTGTTAGTATCAACTATAATATGTTTGGTATTTTTTAGATGTAAAAAGCTATCAGTTGTTATTGATTCACAGACTTTCTCATGTACACACCTAGAGCTTTATATTTATAAAGATCTAGATAGGCCAATGATGCCTCATGTCATGTCGACAAAATCAGAAGCTGAATATAATCAACTCTGTGAAAAATACCTCCAAAGGACATTTTTCTCATTCTTTTTTTTAGTTTACATGTTTTTTCTAGTTGCTTGTTTTCCAATCTTTAGATACGGCCCATTTTCTCATTTTCAGTATATTTTGGAACTATTCCACTCACAAAGGAACCAAAGCACCTGATATCAGACAGAGCTTATGGATTCATTAAATACCATCAAATCTGCAGCAATTGTGCTGCTGATGCTATCATGCTGGCATGAACCAATATCTGTGAGTCATGTTTCCAGCTCCTTGTTGAATATACGCCATGAAGAACCTGGTACTAGCAAGGTGTACCTAATAAAGTGTAATAAAGTGAAAGACATGGACAGCTTACTTTGTCAGCCAAAAGCAGAAGTTGCTAAATGAGATGGGTGTGACAGAGTTAAGAAACAACTTGCTCTGTGGCTGTAACACGGTAGTATTTCTCTGTCTATAATCGCTTAAATCTCAACAAGACTGTAAGGATGGCAGACGAAGAAGTTAACTATGCCTCAGTCACATTCAACACCAAGAAACTATCCCAATCACAAGGTAAGTTAAGTTATTCAAATATACTGCAAGAAGAAAAGATAAAACCAACACTGCAAATTTACACAATACCGATGTTTTTTACTGGTGTTTTCTGCAGTAATAGAGGTTAGAAAAAAAACTTGTGGAAATCAGGTCCAAGTTAGATGTTAAGCTAGCTATCCCAAACGTTTTGCACCAGGATACTGAGTTGATTCATTCAGATGCTCAAACAAACTAAACTGATAGCTTGGGCATCTGACTTTGATGCATCCTGGATGTGGTGGTAGCTGATGAGGGGGAGGTGTGGGTATCTGCTTGGACTGCTAGTTGCATTTGCATGATGTTTAACTTCAGATACTTTTACTACAGCTACACTGAGCAAAGAACTATTAAATCCAAATAATAATAATAAAAAAACATTAGAAGGAATTTGACTGCAAAATAAAGGTTCAATATTTCACCACCTACCACTTCAAGATACAATAACTGATGTGAGCTATGCCGGACGGGCTGTGGACTAGTTGGGAACTTCACAAATATATTTTGTGAATGTCCAAGGTTGGTTGAAAAAAAGAGATAAAACAGAAATAAATGTTGCAGCCAGAACTGAAGAATGATTTATTAATTACTATCAGTCAAAGGTTTGAACGCACCTTTTCATTTAATGGTTTTTCATTATTTTTACTACTTTATACATTGTTATTCATGCTGAAGAAATCAAGTATGTAAAGTAAGATATATTGAATTATGAAGCAAATAAAAATTGTATAAATAACTCTAAACAAATCATATATTTTAGATTCTCAAAGTAGCTGCTCTTTGCTTTGTTGACTGCGCTGCAAACCCTTGGCCTTCTCTTAATGAGCTTCATGATCCCCTGAGATAGTTTCCCCTTCACTGGTGTGCTTTATCAAGGTTTATTTGTATTTTAAAAACTGAAGGTCAATCAGTCCTGAAAACTGCTCGAACTTTGAGTGTGTCCCCAAGTGCAGTTGCAGAAACTGGCTCACATAAAGACCAAGAATCACCTCTCTTGACTATTAAGGCTGGTTTATAGCCAGCAAGTTAACAGCACCTCAGATTAGAGCCCAGATAAATGCCACCCAGAGTTCCAGTAGCACATACATCTGTACATTAACTGTTCAGAGGAAATTGTTCAGAGTGTTGTGGGGAATATGGTATTTTGTTGGATCACTTGTGAGTGTTGTTGGCCAGGTGATGGCAATAACACTGTGGGGTGCTGAACCACCCTTGATGTGATCATTGTGTGGCCATAACTCTCCATTTTGTGGTTGGTCACTAGCATGCTTGCTTTACTGAACTTTGTGGATTAAGTAACTTGTTGTGGTATAGGGCCACTCATATGTGACCGTTTGTGTGGTGGAGACCACAGATCACTTGTGTGTGATTATTCGTGGCTGGTTTCATTTTGTGTTGTAACAGGCTGAATAATCATTTTGGGTTTGTGACTGTTGTA